GGGGGGGGGGCACCTCTTGGAGCTTAATTCGGGGAGCTGGGTTTGATGCCCACGGAGCCGGAGCTGGATGCCTTTGGACTGAGGCTCATAGTGGAGTGGCACGACCTTTGGACATTCATCAGCAGCCCTGAAAGAACTTTATTAACACGCCCTCACTGAGACACTATCCTGAGCATTTGCACCCACATGGTGACCTGTTAAGTTCCCCAATAAGCCCTTTAGTTGTGAGCCTGGTCTGTGGGTTCTGTGTGGCCCCGGCAGTGACATGCAGAACAGAGCAGCCGAGGAGTCAAGAGAGAAACGAAAGTAGAGAAGGTGTCTGTGATCCACCAGGTGTAGAGGGAGTCTCCCAGGAGACCTGGGAGGCCAAGGGTGCAGGGGAGGGGCGGGGTGCGGCAGATGATTGTAGCAGGGCCCTCCTGCCTGCTGGGGTGAAGAGGGGTGAGCCTGTCCCCACCCTCGGTGAGGCGTGACTTGGGCCTGGAGTGACTGAGGGGCAGCCAACACAGGTGACATCTCTGGGAGGCAAAGCTAGAGTCAGGTGTGCTTCTAAGCACAGAGCCTCAACCCAGCGGGAGGGTCCCCGGGTCACAGGGCAGCATCGGGAGATGGCAGAAGGAACCCACCTGCCAGGAGGGGACGTGCACAAACAGTGCCCACATCTGTTTGCTCCCAGCTCCCGAGGCCGATTGCTCTCGGACAGGAGTGAGACAGGCCTCCACCGTCCCCCCTCTTTCCCCCTATTCTGACACCCACCGCCCCTCCCACAGCCCTCTGCCTCTCTGCTGGACTGGATAGTTAATTGCAGTAGTGGTCTCCGTGGGCTCCCAGGCCCCGCAGAATGATGGGGTTCATAATCAAGAGGCCACAATTCAGTTGAGAGATGCTCAGGATACAGTTGTTGAGCCAAGACTGTTTTTCTTCCAACGTGCCACAGCCAGGCCTCTCTCTGGCCCTCACCTCTGCCCTGCTCGGGCAGTGTTACAAAGCTCTCTTAGGGCGTGCCACTCCTCCGTCTGATACTCAGCCCAAGATCCTTGAGTCAGCAAAACCGACACCCTCAATGAAGTGCCCAGAGGCCCCTTACTCCACAAGCCAGCCTCCTGCCCAGAAGCACTCAGCTTTCCTTGCCTTGTGCATTGTGAAGTCTGCCACTGACTCCCGGTGCTGCTGCTGCTGCAGCTGCTTTCTCTGCCATTGCTCTGGTGTCACAGCTGCCTCCTGGATCCAGGAGGGTCACTTCCCAGGGACTTCAGGGTCCAAAGGACACGCCCCACTCTTGGCTCTTCCCTTGCCGGTTGTGAGATCACCCGCCCACCTCTGACTCCAGAGATGGCTGATTTTATGTCTAGCAGGAGAGGGCTGGCAACCATTTATGCCAGAATCTCATAACCAAGCCCATCAGGAACGAGAAGGACCTCTGGTTGGGAGTAACAGGCTGTGTCAGGTTAAATAATCCACTGCCTTGCACGAGGGGAGGGGCAGTGGCCAGGGGAAGTGGATACGGTGACCCTGTCCATCCTGTTCCCCCCCCCACTCTGTTGTTCAGTATCAGGAAGGGCTTAATCAGTGCTCGTTGACCAAAATGGGGGGTGGGAGTGGATAAAGATAGACCACGGCTGTTTTTCTGTCCTTGAGAAATTTGGGGCCGAGGTGAGGAGCCCCAAGACACAAGAACCAAGGAGGTGGTACCAGATCCACCGGAGTGTCACCCAATCCCAAGACCTTTTTAGGAGAAAGGACCCCCTCTGAGGAGGGAATCCCCGGGCATTTGTAAAGCAGGAGGTGTCTGAGTGCCGTTTCAGTGTCTGGAGTCCTGCCCTGAGACCCTCCATCCGTCCTCTGTCTCCGCAGGTACGATGCCGGGCGGGATGGCTACATTGACCTGATGGAGCTGAAGCTGATGATGGAGAAGCTGGGGGCCCCCCAGACCCACCTTGGCCTGAAGGGCATGATCAAGGAGGTGGACGAGGACTTTGACGGCAAGCTCAGCCTCCGAGAGGTACCTGTGTGCGGGGCTGCAGAGCCCCCACTCCCTGGGAACCTTAGACCTGCAGTCTCATGGAGCCAAATGGGTCTGGATGCGACAGAGCACTGCTAGGATATTTAACTCACTCCCAACCAACCCCCTCCCCTAACCCCCCCTACTGGCAACCCTAAAACAGACCAGAGCTGGCCCTGTGGGTTGCCCAGATGATAAATCTTCCATCCAGTCAATTCTGACTCCTAGCAACCCTGTAGGTCAGGGTACAACTTGCGGGTTCCCAACACCGTCACCCTTCCCGGGAGTAGAAAGCCTCATCTTTCTACTTTGGAACCCCGCTGCTGGTTCCAAACGGCCTGTCTTGCGGTGAGCAGCCCAGCACTTAACCACAGTGCCCCAGGGCTCCCTCCGTTTGACCGACAGTCGGCTGGAGAGAGCGGGCAGCCAGGCGACCTTGGGAAAATGCCCAGGGAGTAGACAGGAAGACGAGGGGAACGTAAGCCACTGGGGCTGGACTGTTGTCGTTAGATGCTGTCCGGTCGGTTCTGACAACAGAGAGGAACGCCGGCCTGTCCTGCAGAGAGAGAAATCCGGAAAGGCCTTCCCGCAATGTTCTGAATGCGTATTCTAGGTTCAACATCTGTACGATTTTATACCCTTGTGTCTATTAAGACAGTTGGTGTGTATATAATAAGCTCTTACCCCAAAACAACAGAGCATGCGGTCTGATTCCGGCCCGTGGATCTCCCCTTCCCAAGCAGTCCCGGAATGGGCTTTCTTGGTCTTTGAACCCCTGAAGCTGGGGGCGTGGAGGAGTGCCCCAAGCGCCGGTAGCCTGGGCATTTGCACCAGGGCTAGATAGGCAGTGGTTTTGCACAAAGGCCAGAGGGGTGGGCTTCTTGGAGATGTTTCTAGACTGGGAACTTTGAGGGGGGGGAATCCCCTCTTCTCCTCCCACCACACCCTTCTCTGGGTGGGTCCCTGGCTGTGGGTGACTGACTGGCCATGGGTGACCGGACCCTGCATGGCCCCTGGCCAGACTGCTCCAATTGGATTCTCTACTCTGAAAATTTGGAACTGGGACTGACACTTGAAACTCAGGTCAGCAAGTGGCTGGCCCTTTGATAGAGCGACTCCCTGGGGTCCTCACTGCCCCTGTGCACCTGAGGTCGGAGGCCACGACCTCCCACAGTCTCTCAATGTCTTTGGCTCCCTGGGTTGCGAGGCCTCCTTCTAGCCTCACACCCACCCCACCCTCCTTTCCCCTTAAGCTGACGTGTGTCTGTCTGTCTGTCTGCCTGCCTGTCTGTTGGGGCACTCAGAGCTCCAACTGACAGTACAGAAGTGTGGGGAACCAGAGCCCTGAAGATAAAAATCCCCTAAAACAAACAGACCCCTTCTCTGGCTTGCCGCTAAAAAAGAACATTTGGTTTTTTTCTTTGTTTTCCCCCGGCTTTGTCTGTACTCTCTGTGTCTCTGTTTCTTCTGCTTCATCTCCCCCACCCCCATCCCGCCCCACCCCACCCCCAGGACATTTTCCAATTCTCCACAACATACCAGTCTTTGTGGACTATAAATAGGAAGACATGCACGGCCCAGTGGCCGGGTGGCTGGGGAAGTTGCCCCGCGGGGTGGTCAGTGACTGTGGGAATATTAAGTGGCCTGGGTTATGGGAGGCTGGCCATTTGAGAGTGAGCTGGGTCCCCCCTAACTGGCTGATGGGGGAGGAGTGGGAGTGGGGGGCATAGGTGGCAGGGGACTGCCTGCGCTCGGTGACTTGCTGGTGGAGGGTGTGCCTGCGGCCTGGGTTCAGAGAGGAGAAGACCCAGGAAGAATCGTTTCCGAATCCTTTTCCCGGCACCCAGAGGGAGCCTTCCTGTAAATCTGAGCCTCGCCCTCTCCCGAGCAAGCCATCGGCTGGTGTAGAGGGGTGGCCTCTTGTCCCGTCTTGGCCAGATAGAAGCATGCGATTGGAAGCTTCAAGAGAGAGAACTGCTTCGAAGGAGGACTGGGGCACAGGAGGGGTAGGTGTTTCTGCATCCCCCGGTTCTCTGCTGCTGGGATCTCTTCCTTGAGGGTTTAGCCTTGATGGCCTCATACGCTGGTTGGCCTCAGTCCTGCTCTCCGGCACACCGCCACCTCGCCGCTGCCTCGTTTTCCAAGACTGCGCCTCCTGCCAAGTTTCTGGCTCCACCACGCAGCAGTCTGATGCCGGCTGCGGCCTCCTCGGACCAGGTCTCT